ATAACAATGAGTTCCCGCTGATCCCGTACTCTTCTAATAATATGTTGGGCCTTTATATACCCCTCTGTCACAGCATTAATACAGGGGGAAAAGGGCTTCAGCTGTGCTTGTTTGCTACCTAGTGCGTAACACTTCTTTCTAGAATTTCTCTATAGGGATTTTAGCGAACATGGGCAGTTTTAGGCCTTGCTCTACACATGCGACACTCTGGGTGGGACCCAACGTAGAAGTAAGACGGAGTGGTCTGCGGCCTGCTTGGATCATGCCTTGCGCATACTCTCACACATAATATTACCAGTATTTTTATCGGTACACAACTCTTTCACATAACACACTACTATGAGAGGTTTGAATCACACGACGCTATACAAGATTGGTTGGGAAATCGCTAAACAATGAGCGGTCCAGAACAACAAAAGCAGGGCAGACTTAGTAAACTTAGCTTCTTATGGTGTCGCGTTATTGGGGGCTGAAGTCCACAAATGTGAAGGACCATAGTCCAGGTCCATCGTAGTTCTCCTTTGTAGGCGTGTGCCGTCGAAGTATAACTCTGTACGCTTTTAGCACCAGACCTTCTAAATGCTATAATATGGCCACCACATAGGAAAGGAAATAGTTGCCACAAGATGCTCTGGTAGAGTCATTCTATTAAATCAAACCACATTTGCTTTTCAGGGTTTCAATGAACAAGGTACGCCTCTGCACACTGAACCCCACACACCACACTCGCTATCTTAATTTTATTACTCAGTCTGGATCAAAGAGATTATACGTAGTTCTTACACATTGTAAATTTATAACAATCTAGCCGGCTTTGCTCTTCTGTACCGCCGACAGCCAGACAAAAAGAAATTTGGAAAGGCAGCATATCAACCCCCCCAAGATGGGAGACACACGTAATCTTGGTGTGGGTTGCTATGTTGTTGTCCTCACAGCGTGTGTGTGTCAGCACGTGGGTTCAGAGCTGGCCGCCTCAGCAGAGGCCCAACGCCTTAGAGTGCCCGACCACGGATGTGTTCTCCAACAATCTCCCCTGCGATTTTAATCAGCTCTTGCCCGGGGCAGTTCCCACGCAATCGGCACTGAGATAACGCAGCCTCAGGTGACCAATTTGGGCCAGGCTGTGCAGACCTATTAATAATGAGATGGGGAGCTTCTGCAGCCCTTAAGTGGGCTCACATATCTATGTTTAAGGGCCCACAAGCTTCATCTTCCTGATATATCTCTTAAACATGGTCTCTTTGTACTCTTTTTTCTCTTCTTTATGGAGGCAGGTATGGCCAGTGTCCGCTCATCTTATATCTAAGGTACGTTGCTATAAAGCTAACATGATAGATAGTTGTGGTATGTGTCAGGCTTGCCCTTTTGTTTTATCACGCTGTCGTTTGTTGTAAAAATGGAAACAAGGCAATAACGAAAACACTCCTACCGAGCAGGAAGCTTGGGCACTGGTAGGAGGTGTGCCGACTCTCGCTCTATGGTCAAGGGTCGGTACCTGAAGGTTCTCGAAGAAAACGGTAAATGTCAGGAAGGTCAAAAGGATTCAAAGATAAGTTAAGTAGTGTGTTATCACCAAAACATGGCCAACCGACGCGGGTGTGCACAAAAATTGTATACGTCGCCCTAGTATTCAAATAATCCCCCTTTTCTTTATTTTTTAAAGCAATCCAGTTCGCCTCATTCGCTCTCCTGGGTTCTTGGTCATGCGTCCTTTTATTCTGATACACATCATGAAATTCTGGGCTGCCCATAATTTACGTTTCAAGACATAGAGAAGGGACCAACAAAATAAGACCTGGTGGCGGGAGCTTCATTCTTTCGTGGGGCCGACAGCCTCCAGATAACCGGGGTGGCGCAAACTGGGCCTGATTCACAAAGTCTGGCATGGCCAGCTCACAGTGTGTTTATAGAAGCTAGGGCATTTGTGAGAACCATTTTTGCCGTCGCATACTTTTAGATATATTGAAAGCAGCCTAGGGCTCTTGTACATGTCTTCTTTTTGGTCAAGAAAATGGTGAGAAACAACAAAAAGGAAAATGAGAGGAGTGAAGGAGATTATTGTGGTGCCTTACCTTACAGTTGGATGGTTTGTGGTGTGTAGATAGTGTGAGTGTTGGTGTTAGTGGGTTTTGTTGTTGGAAGTGCAGTGTATATTTTGGTGAGGTTTTTCGCAAAGGTAATGGATGTGTTTGTTGGTAATAGGGGAAATAACCTCTTCATTCCACGAGCGCGCTGGGAGTGTATCACAAGTGTAATAACATCTCAGAGATGGGATCTGTACATTGATGATAAAAAATTTAATCACGGGTATTCCTTTCTACAAAACACCTTGAGACTATAATAAGTATTATTTTCATGCCATTTTTATGTTACCTTTTTCTACATACAGATGTCGCAGAGAAATAGTTGTTGAAACTTACGCTTTGATCAAATTTGAATTTGAATACTGTTGAAAGAAACAAAACCTGCAAAGTTAAACCTCGCACCCTTTTTATGTTTTTATTGAGCTATTTGAATTGTAAGTCACTCGGGGTAATGAGTTCCATGCAATATGTATTATACACTTTGATGGAGATGACCTTGTCTTCAGTTTCTTTTGTAATAACTGTCATATCTCGGGTCACATGTTTCAGGCCATATACCGATGGGCTGGTGCACTGATGGAAAATAGACATTCATTGGGAAGTGGTAACGAAATGTAACACCTGGAATCATAATTTTAATGAAGCATATGTAATGTTCCTACCCACACAAGAATGAAATTTATTTTACATAAGGTTGCAGGGGCCCGGCTAGGAAGTGTACTCAAAGTAATGCTATAAAAAAAGATGTGATGTGGTCGCTAGCTTATATATATCATGGGTATGGTCCGAACGCATGAGGGGCTTTGTGTGAAGAGAGGTTGGAGGGGCACAATCAAGGGGACAGATTTAGACCATATTAAATTATAGTCCTGTAGAATAATAAGAGCCACAGTACCACAGAGAAGAAGAAAGAGAAGATTTTCAGTAAGAGATCAGCGCCAATTTCCGCAACCCTCTCTCTTTGTGTGAAAGACTCAACATTGCGGCGAGAGGGTGGAAATGCGCTCCCGTCCCTGAATCCTGCCATCTTGGAGGTTAGTATCAGGGACGCCAATTATTTTTTAACCCAGGCCTACCAGTGGTGAAAGGATATGTTTCCAGCAAGAACGGCGGCCGGAGTAAGGGGAGCGTCTAAACATGTCTCTGGCACCGAGCGGCCTCTCTGTTAGTGTTAACGCACAATTCCGCCCGTCCTTGCGAGTGAGGAAACAGTTAATTTACTGCTGGGTGATTTGTTAGGTGTAATAATTAGTCCAGGAGAATTTTTGTGGTCACGGAGAATAGAGACTAGCAATTAAATATTCCAGGACTACGTCTTTACATGTGATTCTCTTGACCTATTTTTATGAGAGGTTCTCGTCTCTGTGTTGCTCTAGAAAGTAGGGGGAGACAACCTGGGAAACACCTTCAACACGGAGAGCTCTGCAGTTGATTGCGCTTCTGTGGGGTCGCGCACGTGTCTGTGATATGTGTTGGGCTATCGTTGGCTAGCCGACCTGCGCGGGAGACAATAACAGATAAATCATTGTACTCAGAATGAATATCATATTATTTAACGGTGATCTTTTTGTTAGTCCAAACAAAGCCCGACGTTGCACAATCCCTTAAATCACACAGCAAGCATTCAGTTTGAAACTCTCAGTGGTCCAGTCTTGTCCTGATCGCAGAAGATATTTGAGCCACACAAACACACACCACACAAACACACGAAGACAAGACAGAACAAGAGTGCGCTCTCTTTTATCCCAGACTCAAATCAATTTCGGCCATTTGTCGAATGAAGATCAAGTTGGGGGTAAAAGCAAATGAAAAATGTTATGACGCAATTCATATTGCATAAGTAAACGTCGCTATGAATGCTGGTACCCCTGAGTTGTGTTCAGACGTATTGAGACCTTTTCCCACATTGGTGACCAGGGTTCTTAGCCATTATGTTTTTATCAGGTCCGACCTTCGCGAGGTGCTATGCATATGGTTTCAGGTTGGTTCACTATGGGGTGTTTATTGCTATTAATTTATACATTTTTGTCATCTTCTTTTGTGCCCATGTTGTTACTTTGTTGTCATATTGGTTATTTTATTATTATCTGGGTTTCTTACAATACTCTATATAATGAAGGAAATTTATACAAGCAGATGTTTTATTCAGGAGCTCCACATCCAACAACTAATACTGGGTGCCTTTTTTTTATCATATCATAAATCTTGATAATGTGGTCTTAATTTTTTGTTTTTCCATTTGTTTAGGTGGATGCTTTTGATGTTTGAGGAAGGGCAAGAAAATGAATACCATGGGGGGAGTAGACAGCCAAGCATCATGAGTCCCGCATACCGGAATAGTTGAACACAAACAGTAGAACCCATGACATGGGGAATCCCTTCCGTACAAGTCTCCCTGTTTATAGGCTCCGGGGCAATAATTGGAAGAGGGAGGGAACCTTCTATACACATAATACAACAACTTCACTGGCAGGCTGTTTCATTATACATTGCTCTATTAAACAACAACCCTGTGTTTTTGTCCAATTGGGTTTTTTTTTGTTCATTCTCCATTTTTTTTGGGTCTTGTTCTGGCCACTTTTTTAAATTTTTCATAAAAAAGAAAAAAGAAAAAAAACCAAAAAAAAAAAAGAAAATCCAGAACACTAAATCCCCAATAACAGATTCCAGACCACCCAGAAAATCACATTCGACAAGACACATACGCCTTCTACGTAAAAGACAAAATCCTCCACTATGACAGTAATACAAAAGTATGAACAGTGACTTTTTGTCCTTCCACAGTAATTCTCTTATTTTTTCACATGGCAATTCTCACAAAGAAAATTTGGTCGTTTTTCCACCTAAACTGCTGTGGTCTTCCCTCCCTGCTGCATGAGTAAAGGAATTTGATTCATCACACTGGGTTTGTAATTCTTCAGAGAACTAGCAACTCTCCAGATTATAGAAGAATTTCCCTGACAGTAGTGTCACAGAATTGTGTTTTATGTCTGCCTCAGTCAGGTTCAAAAAGAGAATAAAGGAGACAACCTTAATTGTGTGTATCAAGTTTCATTCCAAAATACAATACCAACTGCATCATTTGAAAGATATTTAACAACAGAGCAGCTATTATTAAAGATTTGGGTGTGTATTTTATAGCAGCATCATTCAGCTTTGAAATCCAGATCAACTATGCACTTATTTAAGAAATAAAATCCAGCTTTCAGTAGTGATGCATGAAAATAACAAAAGAATTAGCTATTCGTGGATTAAGACTAGGGCAATAATTCAGATCACTTGCCTATACACTGAGTTACCAGTTTATTAGGAACACCTCAGCAACATGATCACATACAACAACGCTGAGATAAATTCTCTTTGTGAAGCTGAGCAACTGTAGTGAGTGTTGGTGTTGAACTGGACTCCATTATGCTGAGAGGAATTTCTAACTTAAAGTTTCTTCATTTTTGTAAATGGACAACATTTCAGAGACAAGTTTGATAATAATGCCATCAAATACAACCTAACCACTAACTATAACCTCTAAAATGACCACAAAGTTGAATCAACAACTCTCTGATACAGTGTCAATAAAAACTGAACCAGGCTTAGCTATACAAAGGTAGGATTTATTGCAGTGCTTTGATATGGGATTGCCTTAGATTATACAGGTGTAATAAAATAGTAACTCAGTGTAAGACATCATGAAGGCATAAAACTGGCAATGACACATTTTCTATCAGGTACTCTTCCACTCAATCTATTTTCTATTGAAGTTCATTAAGGTTTAAAAATCCCATTCTTACTAAATTTACATTTTTCTTTTCTCTGGTGCAGTGTTATTATCATTTTTGTCTTTTTACATTCATTAGTCTCAGAGTTTTCCAGCACCAGAAGCAAGCCATGTGCTTATCCACTAATAGGTGGCCCTCTTCCTCCTTTTACTCTCCTCCTTGCTGAAGGATTCTTCAGGGTTTTCAGTCCACGATCAATCCTTTTCCTCGCTCCCAATCCTCCTGACCCCCTTTGTAGCCTCAATCCCTGACCTCTTTCTCACTTCACATTCTCTCTTTCTTCCTCTTTATCACAGCTCCCTCCTCTAGTGTGTTCCCGCTTTCCTCACACTGCGCTCCTTTTATCTCACAGTCTTTCAGCCAGTCCTCCTTCCTTCAGTTCGGTCGGTCAACATCTCCTCCCTCAGTCATCTTCCTCATGGTGGCCGTTGACCAGGCCTGCCTCCCACAGTTGCACCAGAGGGTTCTTGTGTCTGGGGGTCCGGGGACTGTGAAGGACCTGGGTGAAAAGATGGGAACAAAGCATGGCAGGAAGTTAGTGGTGATTTCAAGGTAAACAAAGAAAGGGAGACAGAAAGTTCTATGTAAGAGCAAGTAGAGAAAGAAAGAGAATTAAAGAGTAGAAACATCAGATGTGTGGAAGCAGGAGACGAGGCCAATAGCTAACACAGGAAAAAAGGAGCAAAAAGATTAAAAGAGAAGGGTGAATTTATTTCCTCTAGAGGACATCTCTTTGGATGAGCATCATTAGGTCTGTTAGTCAGAGGGAGGTTAATGCGACTGTGATCCAAGGCCATGTTCAGTATGACTAAGTCAACAACTGAGGCCAATTTCTCTGGCAATCCTTCGTTTATTCCTGAACTTTGATGAGGAACAAGGTCTATGCAGTGAGCAGATAACCAACCAGCAGAGAGAGAAAGAAATAGAGGGACAGATGCATTAGGCAGTGAGAGGAAAGCGAGCAATAACGTTACTAATGCTTACGTCAAACTGAAGCGTGCAGCTGAAATCCGGCATATCAATGTTGAACTTAATTCAAGAACTAAAGCCACGAAGCAGCACTCAATTCTAATCAGAGATACCACAGTTTCAAAGAGATACAAGACCAATAAGGCAGGTAACGTAAATCAGTGGGATTTTCAATTGACTTTCCTCTTTCTTTGCTATTGACTGAACACACACACACACAC